TGTTGATGTATTAGTCAGTTCTTGCATTGCTATGAAGAAGTACCTGAGACTGGGTAATTTATAAAGAAAAGAGGTTCAATTCACTCACAGTTTTGTAGGCTGTTCAGGAAGCATGGCAACATCTGCTTCTGGGGAAGCCTCAGGGGGCTTTTACTCATAGTGGAAGTCAAAGCAGAAGCAGGCAAGTCACACTGCCAGAGCAGGAGCAAGAGAGAGAAGGGAGAGGTGCCATACATTTTTAAAGGCCCAGATCTAGCGAGAACTCAATCACTATCACGAGGACACCACCAAGAGGATGGTACTAAACCATTCGTAAGAGCCCTGCCCCCATGATCCAGTAACCTCCCACCAGGCTCCACCTCCAACATGAGATCTGGGCAGGGGCCCGGATCCAAACTGTATCAGTCGGTGCGATGTGGAGAAATGGGAACGCTTGTACACTGCTGTTGGGAACATAAAATGGTGCAGCTGCTGTGGAATAGCTTGGCAGTTCGTCACACAGTTCGAATTACCACATGATCCAGCAATTCCACTCCTAGCAGTATATCCAGGAGAAATGAAAACATATGTCCATGCAGAAACTGGTACACAAATGTTCACAGTAGCTTTATTTGTCATGGCCAAAACCTGGTAACAACCCAAATGTCCATCAACAGGCATTCAACAGGTATTGTGGTCCACCCATAAAATGGGATCCTACCAAGAATAAAAAAAATGAAGTATTGATATGCACAAAAACACCTGATGAAAAAATAATTGTGCTGAATGAAAGAGGCCAGACATACACTATGAGTCCATTTCTATGGAACTCTAGAAAATGAAAATTAGTCTACAGAGACAGCAAGCCAAGCAGTGGCGGTGGGGAAGGGGGACAGTGAGGGGCAGGAAAGAGGGGTTGCTGGGGGCACGAGGCCACTTTTGGGAGTGGTGGATAAATTCACTGTGTCGATTGTGGGGGAGGTTTCATGGGTGTACACACATGCCAAAAACCCTCCAAATGTACACTTTAAAGATGTGCGGTTTCTCGTATGCCTATTATACCTTCATAAAGCTGTCAAAGGAAGATTAAACAATCACCGACCTTCATGTCTGCGGCAGGCCTCCATTTCCCACATGAATACGGCCCGGTGGTGGAGAAGGACCTAGTTTGGCCTTCCTGAACACAAAAGGAGGGCACTGTGCTCCTTTCAAAAGTTCAAGGCCTTGAATTGAAGGTACTTCCAATGCAATATAAGAATCTGCAGAGCAGCTGTCCAGAACTCCTGGAGAACCCCCGTTTTCTGAAGACAGTGACAGATGCACTGGCGCTGGCATTAGATGGAACCAGCTGCAAGTCCCATGGCAAGTACGAGCCCCTGAGATGCATGGCTGGCGGCCTTGTGTCAAAGCTGTCCCCTCTCATGCTGCCTCATTCTCATCATGCCCCCTGCCCAACACCTCATGGGCATCACAACCATAGAGATGAGTATAGTCACAAAATTTGCGGTGGTCAGTGTGTAAATTCAAACCCTGTGGTAGTTATAATTTACATTAACTTCCCTTTGTCAATCTTACAATAATTCTTTCATGTTTTTGGAAAGTTGCTCCTCATCAGGAACCCGTTAGAGCCCAAACTTTTGCATATGGCATCCCAGAGTCTCCACACTCTGGTTCTAACTGACCCTTTAGCACATACCTGTCCTACCACAATCTCTCTGCCCTTCTAGGCTTCCCCGAACACACCTCATCCTTTCCGTTCTTCCCCTACCTGTCCTAACCCAAGCACTTCCTTTCCCTTGTAGGAAGTCCCTCTGCCTCCACTTCCTGTCTGGCAAGTGTGGGAGCTGCCGTGTTGCCTGAAGTCTGGGAACAGGAAGGACTGGAAAAAAACACGTCTGTGTTCTCAGGAGACTGATATGGCACTTTGCTGGGGAACACATGGGACCAGGTGCAGCCTCCCTTCCCTCTGGTCTCAGAGTCACGGTGTCTGAGCGGCCTCCGGTGGCTGCCTGTGATCCCACAAGGCCTTTCTGTCTCACTTTCACAAGGACCCCCTGAAGAACACCCAAGCACCAGCTCTGGCCATTTCCCACAATCCCAGCCTTACAGCCTTTCCTGTAACCTTGAACCTAATCCATATAGTTTAAACCCTCAGAATAGCCACTCTGCACTAGAGGGCTCATTTCCAGGCCAATGCTCATAGACCTTCCTTATTTGCAACCAGAATAAATGGGAACAATTCCATTTCACAATGAATCCATCCAAGACAAGTTACTAGTTATAGGGAGACACTGCCAGAGCATTTACGTGGCTCTTGAAGTGTTCACAGTTTCAAAGGGCAGAAGCCCAAAGGCAAAGGGGTCCCAGGTTGTTATCCAAGAAAATTCTTGGGTGGTGGGGTGGAGGCTTTCCCCACTTTCCCCATAGCTTAAGCTTTTACATTTTAGCTGTGTCCATCACAAAGTAGGCGTAGACTACCCTCCGAGTTCCCCACACAGCAAGAGGGAGGGAGCCCAACTTAAAGGCACCTTTGAAGGAAAAACACAAATGTCCTTTTCGGACATTCTGACTTTGATTCCATGGGATACCTGTTCAGTTCACGAGGCATACCTAATTGCCACACCCAAAGAAAATGATAGCAATGATGACTTTGCAGTGAGAATGCCATTAAGAGGAGCTAAATTAGACCAAGCAGTGACAAAAGGCTACACTATTTTAAATGCCATTTATCTAAGAAAGCACTGGGGACCCTGGAGCTTTTCCGGGCAGTCTGCCCAGCCTCTCTCTTGGCAACTCCACTTTGTGCCGACAACTCATGTACCTTGTCCTGCCTGTGTCTAGTCAGTCTTGGGCGTAGGTCTCAAGGCAAGAAAAAGGAACTTCCTTTAAAAATAGAGTTCGCTTATGCATCAGAACCAATGGCATGACATGTTACTAAGGAGTCAACTCTCCTTTAGTGAAAGTAGCTACTGTCTGGCTTGTAGGAATGGAATCATTTACTTCCTAGAGTGACGGAAATGGGCATCAGACTGCATGGATATGTTTCTTTTCTGGTTCAGTTGAATGAACAATGGGCACCTGCTCCACATGAGGACTGCGTTTCTGGACCCATGCCAGCCCTTGCAAAGACTGCATGTCAGAAAAACCCAGACTTCCCAATGGCGTCACCAGGGACTTCAAATACACCATTCCTAATACTTCTTTTTCCGGAAAACCCAAAGTTGTAGATGCTTCGGATTGCCTCAAGGCAAGGCTGGAGCCGATGATGGTCCCAGGCCTGAGTCTGAGGTGCTAGGACTACAAGACCCATTTCATTCACGCTTACTGATTAACAGCACTGGGCTTGGCATGGAGGGCATGGCGACAGGCGTGACACACACTTGCAGGCTTATGAGGCAGGCTCGTAGACAAGAACACAATCATAGGACGGAGATAGGGACCCACTGAGGGAGGCAACGGAACAAGAGCAGCTTATAAGAACTCTAGAAGTTTGCACCAAAGAATTCATATATTTATATATATATAAAACATATGTGCTTGTGCGCTGACGTGTGTGTGTGTGTGTGTGTGTGTGTAATATTTCTGGAGTTGCACTCCAAGCAGCATTCTCTGAGGGAATCCTGTGTTTTCAGGTCTTCCCGCACTCTCCTGATTGGAGGCAGCTGTCTCTGAACAGCACCCTCCACCGCACCTACCAACCGCCTGCCCTTGGTCCTTGTAGATGACAAATCCCCTCTTCCCTGGGAGGGGACAGGGCTGGAAGGGGGTGGCCGATGACCAGGACACTGGGCTGAGAGCACCAAGGGGCAGAGTTCCTGGGCCCAGATTTGGGGACAGGGCTGGGGGGCTAGGACAAGGTCTGCCAGCAGCTACGTCTGCCAGCCCTGAGTCTTTTCCTTGAGAATTCCCCTTGGCTTTCAGTAAAGTGACATTTGAAGGGTCTGCCCTGTCTCTGCAGGGCTAAGGGGAAGAAGGGCGGACTGCATTGTTGTAGGGAGAAGAGGGGCCAGGCTTGCCACCATACTCATCGGGGCCCCCTTTCTCCTGCCTGAGGTCTTCCTTCTCAGAGGGTTGGGGGGACTCTTATTTAGGGAGTGATTCCCTGACACTCTGATATGGCAAAATCTCTATTTTCAATGTACATTACCCCTGAATACAAAAAACATTCAAAGCAACAGAACGTCCAATATTCTACAAAATGTCACCCAAAAGACATTCAATCAAAGATCCGTTCCTGGGCTTGCTCTGTTGCCTAAGTGCAAATTCCTAACCCATCTGGCTTTTCTCCTAATCATCACCAGCCAAAAGAGAGGCTGCCTGATGGGGAGGAACAGGTAAGTGTGAAGATTTAGGCACTGGTGGTGGGGCACGGCAGGGAACAAGGGACAGAGAGGCCAGGGTGGCCTTTGCTGGTGGGGTCTGGGGGGCAGAAGGCAGTGGGTGGGCAGGGGGGGAAACCGAAGCCAGCAGGGTGGCTAGCTGCAAATGTCCAAATGTGAGTGACCAGAAGGGAAGGGCTCCTCTCCCAGAGAGGGGATGCTGAGAGTCCCCGGGTCTTATCCTTTCTGCGGGTCCTGGGCCAGCCATTCCTAGAGTCACGGTGCTCAGGGATGACGGGGCCTAGGCACTGCTCCTACTCCCAGAAGCAGCTGGGGGCACCCAGACAAGGTATGAGTTTTCCGGCACAGTCCTCCATCTGTGCCCACATTCAGGGAGCCTCTTGCTTCTGTGCCAACTTTAGAGTCTCCCCCACCCACAATATAAGCTCTTAAAGGATTAAAGTGCTTTCAGTATCTTCTACCTGGGAACACTAACAACTTTTAGGGCGAGGGGAACGACCCCCAGGAAGGAAATGGACCACTCCCCTTAACCCAAAGCCAGTGTGCCCCGGCTGGCTGGCTTCACTGGCCTCACGCGGCCTTGTCCTTACCCGCAGCAGGCGATGCTGATGCAAATCCGAGAGACGGCTTGAGCATCCCCTCCACGCACGCCTGTGCACACACCATAGTGCCTGTGGCTCGGGGACGAGTGCCCCAGGTGCCGCCTCTGTGCCTGAGTTGCAAGGCTCAGGAGTCTGGAGGGAGTAGAGGGCCTCTGTCGGCGGTCCGCACTGTCCTCGGCGGAGGAGCCAGTGCAGGCGGCCCCGGGGGAAGGGTGCGTTCCTCTGTTCTGAGTTCCTCCCGCGTTTCTCAGCCTCAGGGTGAGGCTCTGCCTGGGGTTTTCTGATGGCCAAAGAGGTCAGGGCTGTGGCTGCTGTCGCGGCCCTGGGAGAGCGCTCTTCCCGCCTGAAGGGGGCTGAGTCTCTACGTCCCCTGGAAGGCCCCCCACGGCGGCCTGCCGCGCCCTGGGTGCGCTGGCGGGGAGTCAGCGGCGGCTGGGCCTGGAAGGCTTGGAAGCCGCGCTCACCCTGGGGGGGCTACTGGCCGCTACTGCTCTCCCAGGACTGGCGCTCCTGGAGCCCGCTCGCCGCCGCGCCGCCTCTGCTTTTGCCTTCGCTGGGCGCCTGGCGCCGTGCACTGCCTGGTGCTTGAAGAGGTTGGCGCGCCGGCCGAAGGCCTTGCCGCAGTCACTGCACTCATAGGGCTTCTCCCCGCTGTGCACGCGCCGGTGCTGGCTGAGGCCCGAGCGGCCGCGGAAGGCCTTGCCGCACTCGCCGCACTCGAAGGGCCGCTCGCCGCTGTGGCTGCGCTGGTGGTGGATGAGCTGCGAGACGCCCTTGAAGGCCTTGGCGCACTGGCCGCAGGAGTAGGGCTTCTCGCCGCGGTGGGTGCGCTGGTGCTCGATGAGGTTGGAGCTGCGGCTGAAGGCCTTGCCGCACTCGGGGCACGCGTAGGGCCGCTCGCCGCTGTGCACGCGCTCGTGCTCCAGGAGTGCGAAGCTGCGGCGGAACAGTTTGCCGCAATCGCCGCAGGAGAAGGGCCACTCGCCGCTGTGGATGACCTGGTGCTTGATGAGGTTGGAGCTGCGCGTGAAGGTCTTGCTGCACTCGGGGCAGGCGTAGGGCTTCTCGCCGCTGTGGATGCGCTGGTGCTCCAGGAGCGCGAAGCTGCGGCGGAAGAGCTTGCCGCACTCGGGGCACGCGTAGGGCTTCTCGCCACTGTGGATGATGAGGTGCTTGATGAGGTTGGAGCTGCGGCTGAAGGCCTTCCCGCACTGCTGGCACAGGTACCGCTTCTCTGCACCTTTGTGGCCTTGCGACCCTGTGGCTGAGCTCGGTCTCAACCCTTGGGCACCTCTCTGCAGAGAAGACGACCTTGCTGCCTGCCCCTCCTTGCCACCTTGTGGATCGGCCCCAGGGAGCTGTCGTCCAGAATGCTTCTGCGTTGAAGTTGATGTCGTGCTGTGTGTCCTGTCACCTGGAAAGGCAGAGCACCAGGCAGTGTCACCCTCATGCCAAGGCGGAGAGATGAACGAGCAGGAGGTGAGGACGCAGTGGGACGGAACAAGGTGACCACAGAGCAGAAAGTGATCACACAGGCAGACGGGAGAGATGAAGGGGTGGGAGAATGGGCTGCAGACAGCCGGGCTGCTGTGACACCTGGAGACTGATGTCTGCCTCCAAAGAGAAGTTTCCATCCAAAATGGCAGCGCCCCCCACCTCTTTGCCACTGCTATTTCTTTTCCCCAGATGGGGAGCCGGTTGAGCACCTCTCACTCACCTATGAGCAATCCTTTGGTGGCCCAGGTTCTGGGGATGTCTGCTACCCAGGGTCCTTCCCCTCGCTCCAATTGGGAGATCAGGTGAGGCTTGGAGAAGGAAAACCCTGGGCAGGGAATACAAAGCGGGTCAGGACCACTATGGCTAAGGACATGGCCGCTCCTGAACTCAGGTCATTCTCAATATCTTCATGTAACAGAGAATAAAGAACTCTCTAAAAAGCACCACCGGGAAGGTCCAGAGAAAGGGCAGAGTCCCTCTATGAAGGCAAGGGCTCCTGTGAGTCCAGGGCCAGGTGGGCGTGGAGAGCTTGTGTCTGGCAATTTGGGCCATGAGGACAACTGTGTTTGTCACCTGGCCTGCAGGGAGGCTGAGAAACTCATGAGAACTTGGACATGTGTGTGGGGACCCTGAGGGACAGAAGCAGGGAGTGTTGGGAGGCCGACAGCCATGTGGCCCAAAAGCTGAAGTGCCCTGTTTCATCATCAAACTCCACTGAGGATCCCAGACACCTCCCTGGAACCCCAGGTCTGCCTGGTGAGGGTCAGAAGGAAGCAGGGGATGAAGCTGCTTCCCCTGTATGGGGTAGATTACAAAGGCAAAATCTGTGGAGTCAGACCCCCACAACCCCGAAGGCAGTAGGGTACAATATTGAAGCCCCTCTGGATTTCCCCTCTGGCAGCGAGGGGAAATGGAGTGTTTCCATCTCCACTGGAAAGTGGAGTGTCCAAGCTAAGCTGCAGCAGCCAACCTTGCTGGGTGCACTGGGGGAAATGCCAGAGGCTGGGTCCCGCTCTGTCTCACACATGCATTTTTCATCAGCTGTGTGAGGCGGGGCAAGTCACTGGCACCCTCAGAGGTTCTGCGCCTCACCTGAAAGCTCCTGAGTGCTCTGGCCCTCATCTATCTAGCCTGTGAATCCTGCGTTTGTCCTTTAATTGGCAAAGTTGTTGCCCCTTCTGGCAGTGGGGGTGCACGGTCAGGGAAGGGGGAGAGCAGCCTGCTCCAAGCTGCCCCAGCTCCTTCCAAGACTTCTCAAGGCTTGAAATCCAAGTGTACAATTTGTCCTTACGTGGGACCTCCCTGGTTGATGGAAGCAAAAGATGTTGCTAAATTTTATAAAGTGGAACAGATGCAAAATGCAGCCATCATAGAAATGAATTAAGTCTAAAATAGTTCACATAAATATTCCAGTATAATTTGCATCTCTTTTTAATAGAAAGACATTTAGTCGATTCATGATTTTATACACAAGATAAGTCTGACACTGAAACTCACAGGCCAATGCATTTACCTAAAACATTTATGGGTCCAGGCCACTTAGCTAAAAACTATCCTACTGAGATGGCAGAGCTGGCCTGCAATGGATTAGTGGTATTCTTGGGCTCGTTGCAACCAACGAACAGGACAGTCAGAAACAAATTTAGCCCAGAGACAGAGTAGGTGGACTGAGTGCGTGTATGTCATGGGGGGTCACTTACCCAGTGACACCAAATGGCTATAGTTTTCCAGCATCACCCGCTTGTAGAGGACCCTTTGTCTGAGGTCCAGAAGCTTCCATTCTGTCTTTGTGAAGTACACAGACACGTCCTCAAAAGATACTGGCACCTAAAACAAGCCATTCTTGTGGCCACAGGGGACTTCAACCCCCTGGGCCCCTGGAAGAGCTACAGAAATAAAATGTGAGGTGGGGGGAGCCCTGGAGGGTGGAAAGGCTTGGAGCTGCATGAGTTGTAAGACAGAAAAACAGGAGGCACAGCCAACAGAGGCAGGAAGCCCAGATTGTGGACCTCAGGAAAGGAGAACAATGGTAAGGGCAGCCTAAGCTCAGCCCAGCTGGAGAGGTCTGGGCCTGAGGAGGTAGCACATGGGGGCTGGCGGGGGGAGAGGCCAGGGAGAGGTCCCCCACTCACCTTGGGTCTCGTGGTCAGGAGAATGGCTGCCATCTCCAGGGCATGGAGGAGCTGAGGGAAATGCAAAGAGCCCCTGTGAGCTCAGGTCAGCCTGGAGCAGCCAACCTGCGACCCGCTTCAACACCCTGCTTAGTTTTTCTTGTGAAATAAGCAGCGCAGTGCCCACCTGTGGTGTTCTCACTCCTGCAGCTTCACCAAGGGCCCCTGACCATCAGACCGTCTGTATGGCTTCCATAGCAAGTACTACAAATTGGGGCCTTCAAGCAACATGCATTTTTCTCCCCCAGTTCTGGAGGCCAGAAATCTGAGATCCAGGTGCCGGCGGGCCCCCACTCTGTCAAACCCCTTCCTTGCCTCTTCCGACTTCTGATGGCTGCCAGCAATCCTTCTCTGCCTCTGTCTTTGTGCGGCCACCCTCTCTGTGTCTGTGTCTGCGTTCACATGTCCCTGGTCTGCTGAGGATGCCAGTCACTAGTCCCTGGTCTGACACCAGTCACTGGATTAGGGCCCACCTGCTCCTACAGCGATGACTCCATCTTACCTTGATCACAGCTGCAAAGCTCTCTTTCCAAATGAGGTCACAGTCACAGATACCAGGAGTTGAGACTTCAATATGTCTTTTTGGGGGACACAATTCAAACCCAGGACACTTTCTGCAACTGAGCTGCCATGCTTCCTCCCCTGTGCAGTGGGCCATGAGCTAGGGCTGTCAAGGGAGCCCATTTCTTCTTTCCTTTCTTTTCTTCTTTTGCTGTTTTCTTAGCTCTCTCCCCATGTGGCCAGCACCCCCTGACCCCAGCTTTCCAGCCGTTCCTGGAAGCTCCACTGCAAATCCCCTTCCCTCAGGTCAGGATTCTTAAGGAAACTCCAAATACACATGTACAACCTCCCCTTGCGACATGAGGACTTGCTCTCAAGGAAGAGAAGAGAGGTGAGGGTAGTTCAGAATCAAGGAGACCTACAGTAGCAGGGGTGCTCTCTGAAGGGGTGACATTCAGGCAGAGAGCTAGAGGCTGCAAGCGGCAAAGAGAGCAGCCAATGGCACACCTTGGCCCTCGAATGGTCATGAGCTTGGCATTTGTGGTGCTGAAAATTAGGGAACAGGTGCAGAGGATGACACCATGTGGGACCCTGGGGGGACAGCAGGAAGCTAGTTTCAGGCTAAGAGTGGGGAACATGAAATTGACCAAGTGGACAAAATGCACCTTGGCCTCAGGACTTCTTCTCCACATCAGTTCTCAGTGCTAGAAGACAGCCAGCGCTGTGGTTTGGGTATCTGAGCCTCCAAACGTGGCGTTGCAATTTGGTCCCCAATGTTGGAGGTGGGGCCTCATGGGAGGTGTTTGGGTCACGGGGGTGAGTCCCTCACGAACAGATTAATGCTCTCCCTGAGGAGTGAGTGAGTCCTTGCTCTGTGAGAGCTGGTTGTTAAAAGGCCTTTCCCCCCATCTTGTGTCCCCTCTGGCCACCAGCTCCCCTTGGACTCCCACCCTGAGTGGAAGCAGCTTGAGGCTCTCATTAGATGCAGGTCCCCAGTCTTGAACTTTCTAGCCAGCAAAATCCTGAACTAAAGAAACATTTTCTCTTTATGAATTTCCCAGCAACACAGGCTGTCTAGCACAGGCAGGTCAAAGGCTGCTCCTTTCTCAGCACACCGGCCACTGCCTGCTTTCTCTGCTTCTCTGCCTGGGACTTCCATTTTGTTGGTCTCCAAGCTTTTATTGATGTTCCAATAGGTGACTACGGTTTGTCTGTGGCAACAACAAGGCCGCAGGAGAGAGGGAGAGGGAGCATAGAGAAAGACAGCCATAGTATTTGCCTAGCATTTAACTTGCCCCAAAGTCCCTTATCATCTATGATGACCTGCCAGCCAACATTGGTCCACAATACATAAGCTCATGTTCTGAATCCCTGAGGGTGGAATGGGTGCTAGAACCATTAGGTTAAAGACTGAGGGAGAAAGGGATATCACATATGTGATTATTTGCTGGCTGCATGAGAGTAATCTAACCTAGCAGTGGGACACAGGGGAGGGGACAGTCCTGCTGCCAGGATGCAGTAGGAAGGTATCCTACCAAAGCCATATGACTGGATTTGAATGCAGCCTTGGCACTCAATGTCCAGTGTCCTGAGGCCCTCAGGAACAGATGACACCACAAGAAAGCAACCTGCCCGACCCAGGAAGTGGGCCGTTCCATAGAGCCGGTCCAGTGTCCTCTGCAAATCCGTGTCATGAGGGGAAAAGGAGACTGGGCGTAGAGACTGTTCTAGATGAAAAGAGATTTAAGGGGCCCAACACCCAAGTGCAAGAGGGGTCGTTGATGAGATGCTGGCATAAATGAGAGTTGTCAAAGGGATTGGGGATTATGTGAGGGGGTGACTATGGGGTGGCCCTCAGAAGACAGGAGGGGATCATTACTGCTCAGGTGTTGGATGGATAGTGGCACTGGGTCATGAAAGAAAATGTCCCCATTTAAATAAATGCACATTGCAGCCTTTGGGGGAGGAAATGGCATGCAAGTTAGTTTAAAACCTTTCAGAACGAGAAAGAGAGAAAAGCTGATGCAAATAAGGCAAGATGGTGATCACTGCCAAACCTGCACAGTGGGTGACCTGTGTGTCCTCAGACCAGTCCCTCTTTTTTGTCTGTGCACAAAATTAAAAAGAAAAGAAAATAGAACTATGGAAAACAGACTGGTGGCTTGTCAATAAGTTAAACATAGGTACCGTATGATTTGGCAATTCCACTTCTGGAATTATACCCCCAAAGAATTGCAGACAAGTGGTTCACACAAACCCTTGCACACCTGCGTTCACAACAGCGTTAATCATACAGCCAAAGGTGGAAGCAGCCCAAATGTCCATCGATAGATGGGTGGACCAACGCCGTAAATCTATGTATACAACGGAATAGTATTTGGCCATAGAAAGAAAGGAAATTCTGCCACGTGCTACCATGTGGATGAACCCCGAGGACACTGTTCAGTGAGAGAAGCCAGACACAGACTTGAAAGGCCACATATTGTCTGATTCCATTTTGTGATGTAACATCACATTTCCCAAGAGCTGTCTTGACCTCGTTTTGAAACAGCGGCTAAAATCTCTCATCTCTCTGCCCTTCGAGGGCAGTTTGATAGGTCCCCACTCCCACCACTTTTCTTACAAGGTCCCTTTCTCTGGGGTCACCAAACACACACCCCAACTGCCCCTGCCTCATTGAGCCCCCACACTCTGGGGCCAGGCACCAGACAACTGGGGACAGCCCCTATGCTCTGGAGCCTGAAACCTTATGCAACTCAATCAATCCACAGGAAGCCCGAGAAACCAAGCCACCCGCCTCTACTGGCCCCTCACCCCAGGTGCTGTTTCCCTGTCCCTGCCGGGTCTAACCCCCGTGTGGCCCTGCCGGGCAGTCTTCTCTTGTTCAGAGCGATACAGAACAAAAAGCTGTGCCTTTCATCTATCCCAGGGTCCTGCCATCCAAAGAACCTTTAACTCTCATAAAACATGTCTGTCCAGAACAGGCCAATCCATTGTGTCAGAAGGCAGATTGGTGGGTGCCAGGGGCTGAGGGGATGGGGAGGGACTGCTAATGGGTCTGGAGGTTTCCTTATGGAGTGATGAGAATGTTCTGTAACTAAACAGAGGTGGTGACTGCACAACATGGTGACTATACTAAATGACCTGTGAATTGTTCTCTTTAAAATAGTTAATTTCGCTGGCTGTGGTGGCTCACACCTGTAATCCCGGCACTTCGGGAGGCCAAGGTGGGTGGACTACTTGAGGTCAGGAGTTCGAGACCAGCCTGGCCAACATAGTGAGACCCCATCTCTACAAAAATACAAAAAATTAGCTGGGCATGGGGGCATGTGTCTGTAGTCCCAGATACTTGGGAGGCTGAGGCAGGACGATGGCTTGAGCTGGGAAGGTCGAAGCGGCAGCAAGCCGTCATTGCGCCACTGCACTGCAGCCTGGGTGACAGAGCGAGATTCTGTCTCAAAAAAATTAAGTTTTATGTTGTGTGAGTCTCACTTCAATCAAAAAGGAGGGGAAAAGAAGTGATCCTGTAAGGTAATCACCTGATGTCCGCAGGCCTCACCTGACTTCATTAGCACACACTGTCAGTGACTGGGAGCCCTGCAAAACTAAAGGTGAGTGAGGAGGTGTTACTGATAATTTGCCAGGGCTTTCAGACTAGTATGAAATGATTGTTTTGGAAAGCAGCATAAGCTCATTTTTTCCCCTACCATAACAGTACTGAAATTTCATTCACTACCCATTTTGGGCAAGTTGAAAGGGGGAGGAGTTATCTCTAGTCCTTCCACCCCAAGATGTGCTGATGCAGGTCTGAGCCCCAAGGGAGCAGAGCACTGTTGAGTGGTGACCCCCGAGTGAACACCCCATCAGCTGGAGTCCACCCAGAGACGGAGACCCACACTCAAGTGCAGCATCGGAAGACTCAGCGGAGGTGCTGGCCACACCGAGCTGTCACCCAGAGCAGTGCCTATCCTTGAGGGCCAGGTTCTCGAAAATCATCTCCAATTTCAACTCCTGGAAAGAAAGACACAACAAACTTTGTGCCCATAGAACTCAAGTAATCTCCAGTTGAGCACCGCTCCGTGCATCTGAGGACAGGAGAACCTGGAAGGTGCCTGGCAGAACTAGAGAGCAGCTTCTTCCAGCTGGACCGGCAAGAGCTTTGGGGACCAGCAGAGCAGAGGCCAAGTGGAAGGATAAAGTTGTGCTCTGAAGCCAGGCTTCCCTGAGGCACGGCATTGGGCTCGCAGGCAAGGGTTCCACTAGACCTTGGCGCCTCAGGTAAGAAGCCAGGGAGCCCATCAACCTGGGTGACTGGTGCCACTAGCAGCCCCTCCAGGGCTGCTCCGCTTCTGCGAGGGGCCTTGCGGATCTTAGCCTATGGGTGGAACTAAGTATGCAGGGTGGTCCACACGGGGAGGGCCAGGAAAGGGGTGACAGCAGGGCCACTGCCTACAAGGAAGCCTGGCCAACCAAGGGGAGAGCCGGCAGCAGCAGGATGCCTTAAGGCGACCACTAGATGGGGAGATATTCCCAGAAAAAGAAAAAAGAACCCACACAAACAACATTGAGAGACGCATCCAGCAGTCCCATTCGTGGGGAGCAGCAATTTGGGCTTTTTCGTTCACAGCAAGGGACAGGCATCGCCACTGTGGTTGGGTTTCTTCTGTCCTGGGGGATCTTGCTTCTCTCAGCCCCACCAGCTTTCCCTGGCCTGAGGCCCTAGTCACCTGCTGCCCACCTGGCAGAACGGCCGGGGAGGGAAACTGTAGAAACTAGAGCCAAGGCTCAGCCTGGGTGCTGCGTGGGCTGACCGGGGCCCTGCATGCAGCCTAGCCTGGTAAGCTCCTCTGAGGAACTTCCTTGCAGCTGGCAGGCCTTTCCCTCTGGGGGCAGAGTCTAACCCACCCAAAAGGCGGCCACCCAGGCTGCTTGCTGAGGGATCCTTCGAAGAGGTGGGTCGGGTCCTGTCCTTTTCTGCTCACAGTTATCCCTGGGATGCCTGTGTCACTCAGAGTAAACCCACCCAGCCCTTCCTGACCTTGCCCAGCCCTCCTGCCACCTCTGCGCTTCCCTCCACTGCTGCCACACTCTTGCTCCGGAGAGCAAGGCCACTCTCACCCCAGGGCCTTTGCACGGGGGATTCCCTCTGCCTAGAATGCTCTTCCAAAACACGACCACAAGCCTCGCTCTCTCACCGCCTTTGAGTTTTCATAGAAATGTTGCTTTGAAATGAGACTTACTGTAACCACACCACCTAAACTTGCAACCAGACCTCTCTTCCTGGCTTTTACTGCCTTTTAACAGACTCGGTAATTACTAATGGAAAACAGTTTCTGTTTATCCTCTGCGCTCAGCCACTAGAACGAGAACCCCAGGGCAGGGCTTTCTGCCGCTGTCACTGGCAGATCTTGAACGCTTGCAGCAGCGTGGCCCCTGGAGAGTTCTCAGGAGATACTTGTGGGATTGAACCAGTCACAACTAGGCTGGCAGGGAAGTGCTGGGTGCTGCTTTCTGCCCAGCTCGCTGGGTTCCTCTCTCACCCTTGCCCACCACCTTCCATTGGCTGTTTCCTTCCTCCTAAGCTTGCTTAAGCTTCTGCTTTTCCGTGGCATGCCAGTCACCCAGTCAACACCCTGCGCCACCACGAGGCACCAGCACACACCTGATACCCTCTGGAGCACAATTTTGGGCATCCTGACCCCATCTGGGGACCCTCAGGGCCGGTGGCTGGGCAGCAGTGCCACAACCTCACAATGCCAATCTGCCTGGCACTCTCAAACCCAGAGGTGCAAAATCCAAACTCACCAGGCGATGAGCTACGGGATGCTCTTTAGCCAGCCCCGGGACCGGTGGCTGGAAACCAATCAGGACAGAAATTGACAAACACTGGCGGAGGCTCCCAGCGCCCAGCCCTGGAAGGCTGCTCTCCCCTAACGCCCCTGGTAGGGGGCGGCTCCGAGGGCTGATCCCGCCACTCAGCGCTAGCCCGCCTCCCAGGGCGTCCCTGTCCCTGTCTTTCGCCGTAGCCGCTGCTCGTTCGTCCCCCTCCCCACCTGCACCCTGCCCAGACGGGCCCCTTACCTCTTTACCCCCTTACCCGCGGCTCAGCTAGGCCCTTCTATCTGGGCTCAGCGGCGGCTCAGCCTAGCCCTTCTACCTGGGCTCAGCGGGTAGCCGAGGGAGTCGACCTCCCTTCCCGCCCTCTGCAGCACCGAGGCCGAGGCCGAGGCCGCCGCCACCTCCGAGAAGCCCTCCGAGGCGGTGTCCCCAGGAGACTGGCCCGGGGGGATCGGGGGACTCCCGGCCGGGTGTCGACCTCGCCTCTGGGTACCGTTCGCGAGGCACGTCCTGAGGGCAGTCTGTCCGTCCGGTGCGCCGACGAGCGGGACGGGAGCGGGCGGGGCCGGGGCGGCGGCGGCGGCGTGGGAACGGGGCGCGGAGGGGGGGCACGGAGCATGCGCGGCGCGCCGGGAGGCGGCCCGCCTCGCGCCCGCCCCACAGGGGCGTTTGGCCTCGCTCCCTACGCGCCCCAGGGCACTTCCGCTTTTTGTCTGGGCTGCTCCGAAGGCTGGGGTCGAAATAGTCAGCACACCGATGTCCCCGAAGGGGACAGGGGAGGGATCCACGTTGGCAGAACACCTCCCATGGGCTAGACCCCTGGGTATTACGTCCATTCATTCAGCTACTCATCACGCTGGGGTCCACAGGACCTCTGCGGGGCAGCTCTCACCAAGTGGCCCAGCCATGGTCACCCGTAAGGGAGCATCTCCGGTGACTCAGGATTGCAAGGATCAGAAAGTGGGGGAGAGGTGAAAGGTGACTTGGGAAGGGTGGTGTGGAGACCGGAGGAGGAGAAAGAGGAGGTCACGGAAGTGCAAGAAGGCAAGGCCTGCTGGGTGCATCTGGCTTTCCCTCAGGTTCCCGGAGGGGATCCGCCTGTAGTTTGTCATTTTCCAATGGGTCATGCTCCACGTGGCAGAGCTGGGATTGAAATCCAAGGCTGCTTGGATATTTCTCTGTTGACAATTGTGAGATCCTTGACAAGTAGTGAAGCATATGAAAAAGACCGTAAAAGAAAAGCAACGGAAAAATCAGTCACACCGGGTGTCCCAGGCCTGGCCGCTGGGAGCTGGGCACGAGGCAGGCGCCCCCTTGGCCGCTGAGAAACCAGAGCTCAGGGGTTTCTTTTCTTCCGAGACCCAGGGCCCTGGCCAGGAGCACTTGGCTCGCAGCAAGGAGCCCTCGGCAGGCCTGTGCTCCCAGGAGGAAAGCCGTCCATCCTGGACCTAGAGGAAGGGCGGGGCGCTGCTCAGGGAAGCTCCCGCTGCAGGAAGCAGGGCCCCCAGGGGGCCCAGTGCAGACACAGCTTCGGTGCCCCTTTCCCGGAGCAGAGGCAGGGAGGCGCCTGGTGGCCCTCGGCTGTGGGTCCTGGTGCCCAAGCTTGTCCCTTCACCGGGGCTCTGGCTGGGCAGGCTGGGGCCTGGGCTGTTGAGACGCTGTGGGGTGACTGGTTGGTGACCCCTGAAAGATACATCCGCTTCTTAACGCCCGGGCCCTGTGAGCACGGCCTTATATGCGAAAAAAGGGTATCTGCAGATGTCGTTACATTGAGGATGTGGAGATAAGGGCAACCTAGATCATCCAGGGGGTCCCACGGACGGCTCCCTTAGAAGAGACAGGAGAGAGAGACACGGAGAAGGCCATGTGGAGGCGGAGGCGGGGAACGTACGAGGTCCCCAGAAGCTGGAAGAGGCGGAAGGATCCTGCCCCAGAGCCCCCGGAGGAAGCGCTCGGTGTGGGACCCCGGCCTCCACAACTGGGAGAATCAACTCCCGTTGGTTGAAGCCACGCCGTTTGTGGTCACGCCGAGACAGCCCAGGCCACTCCGACGCGCGAGGGAATGGGCCTAGCCCCGAGTCCTCCTGGGCCGTGGAGGCGAGGGGCGGGGGGACCTTTGCACCTACCTCATCCAGTAACCTGGTGGGGGCTGCGGCGACCGTGGGAAGGCAGCCCCCATTGTCCTTGGGTCGTTTCCAGCGTGAGCGGAAAGGCATCTGCCCACATGCCCACGAGCCATCCCTGCAGGCATCTGCCCACATGGAAAGCGTGAGCAGCCAACCTGCACGGAGGCTGGAGAGTGCGTGCCTCGGGCCGGGGACCCCTGGGAGTGTGCCCCACTTCCACTGCAGGAGGAGGGGCTGTGTGCCCTGGGCTGCGGGTTCCACACCAGCCTAGAAATGGGGGCGCAGGGGCTGCCGTGTGCGCCATTGTCTGCAGCGTGTGGGATGACACGTTGGTGGTGGCGGGGCACCGCGGTCAGAGCCTCACACCTAGAGCAGGTGAAGGGGACCTTGACAAGCCCCCGATTCCGTCGGGAGATCAATCTCCCTTCTAGCATGTTTTCGGTTTTTTACTGTAAAGAATTTCAAACACACACCCAAACTAGAGAGGATGACAGGGCACACACCCGCCTGCCGCCCCGCCAGAGGTCCTCTCACGGCCCTGTCTCCTCCCTCTGCCTCCTCTTACTGTGATTGGGAGGCCTGGGGCCTCCTGAGAGAGGCATCCCCCTCTGACTTCAGCAGGGATGGAGCCTCTCAGGCAGCAAACCTGGATTCCCAACCTGGGAGGAAGGTGTGGGTTTGGGAGTTGGGAGGTCCCCTCTCCTCCATGGTTCCCCGCCACCCCTAGCCCTTTCCCAGTCTGGCTGCTCCCCAGCTCCGGTCTTCCATTCCCCCCTTGGCCCAGGCTGGCCCAGGATAGGCAGGCAAGGTAGCCGGGCGGGGCACAGGGGAGTGGGCACTGTCCCACAGCTGTGGTGCTGCACTCTGTACTGTGAGCACCTACCAAGCCACAGGCAGCCCCCTCCTGGGGGCAGGTTGGCAGCAGTTCCCCCAAGCTTTGACAGGTGCCCAGGGGCCCAACAGGGAGGTCCAGGGTGAAGCCAAGCTGTCTGTGGGAAGTGAGCACACAAGTGGGGGAAAGCCACCTTCACAGCGGGGCAGGGGTCAGGGCGGCACTCTCCCAGGGGTCAGTCAGGCTGTGGCTGACTGTTCTGCGGGCATGCCCTTGGAGGGAGGTGGTCTGGGGCTGCGTGCAGAGCCTTGAGAATGTGCTGCCAGCCTCAGATACCCGTTGGGGATGATAGCGACTGTGGGCTCCTGTGGGGACAGGCTGCGTGTCTGGACCGGGTGAGCTGTTTCTGTGCAACTCCTGACCCTGCGCCCTGCCAGAAAGGTGCTGAAGATGGGGTGCAGCCAGCGAGTGGAGGAGGGGGATGTCCATGCTACCGTCCTAGGAGACGGTGGCTCTGGGGAAGTCGGGGATGAAATGCATTCGGCAACACCTCAGGTCCGGCATGCTGCTCCTTGAGCCTGCAGAAGGGTCAGAGTACTGCATGGCTCATGGCATGGAGAATGTCTTGTGTCACATGGGGCAGTTCGTCCACCCTTGGGACCCCTAGGCTTGATGGGACCCTCATGGTGAGGCTGGTAGGCGCAATAGCGTCAGGCCTGGGTGCCAGGAGGGAGCAGTGGCCAGGCCTCAGAGCAGGATGCCTTGGCCTTCAGAAGCCAGAGGGCCTGCAGCTCACCTGGGCACCTGCCCCAGGAGGTGGCCCTCCACTTGCTGCCTAAGTGACAGCTTCTCTCATGGGTGCAGCTGTGGATCTGGTTTCTGAATGTTCCAGAGGGGAGCTACTGCTGACTCTTCTACGTGGCCACTACCATCCTCACTGTCCCTTCCAGGATGGCCTCCTCTCCCTTCACTGACACTCCCAGTCTGATCACAACTGTCTCTCAACTGTCCCTCCCAGTATGGCCACAGCTAGCCCAATTGTGCCCCCTCTAGTGGCTTCACTGTCCCAAGCTGTCACCCAGGCCCCAGCCTCTTTCCACCCTTAGCTCTTGGCTCTGGCTTCAGGCTGCTGCCTGTGTGCTGGAGAGTGTCCGTCAGTGTCTGCTGGGACCATGTGCTTCCTTGTTCCTGCTCAAGGAAAGA